TTTCTCTTACCCACTATCTTTTTTACTTTTGTTCTACCATTTTTTCTACCTTTTTTTTTAATTACCATTGTTGGTGCATATGATATTTTAAAATATTTTATTAGAAAAATCATCTGGAAATCAATGGAATTATTAGTAATTTGAATTATTTGATAACAAAACAATAAGTATAAAGATGGAAAAAATTAAAACTCCGTTTACAAAAAAAAAAATCGATGTGCCATTGCACAGGGCACAAAACTAGTGAGTATATAAAGCAGAACAAATAAAAATACCATTTTTGAAATAACAGAATTATTTTTCAAATTTATAATCGAGGATTCTATGAAATAATTAGTTGCAATTAAACTGATATCTCTATTAATATGGAATGCATAACAATATTTTAATATATTTAGTCTTTATGCAAAGATTGCGCAATATCTTTTTTATTCAAATAAAAAATTGTTTGAAAGATTTATAAAAAAAAAACTCCGAAAGAAAAGAAATACAGCATTAATTAGATATGCACAACAATAATTCCGAGTGTGTATATGGACAACATTCAATTGCGAAAACTAAAATTAGAAATCGTAATAACTAAATCTTTGATTTTAAAAAGATTTGCCANTTACTAAGATTTACTATTGTTTAGANTTTCTGNGGCTAAACCTAATATTTTCTACATTAGTTCTCTCCCTTTAAATAAAACCAGTTGTATTACACTTGAAACACAATTGTTTTACTTTCGGTAGGATCATTTTGTTAATTATTTATTGTCTCTATATGTGTTTGTTGATGATTTTTTACTTCTTTTCTAATAGATCTCAGTGACCATGAAGCTTTTGGAACAATCGAACAGATAAAAGAGACGGTAAGCTCGACAAAAAAGCTGACCATCGTCTGTAGCTCCTTCGTTGTCATCGTCTATTTCCGTTTGAACATATTTAGTCATTTCTTTGTTTATGAGGTTCTTATGTTTTCGTAGACATGTGAGAACCATGGAGATAAATGCTTAACCAAGCCTTTGACAT